AAGTAATCTACGTAGTTAACATTTTTTTCAAATCTAATAATCTAAGTAATAGTAGTAAGGCCATTTGTTTATAAATAATGATTTACTGACCTTCTAGTATCAGTGGTATTTGTTTTATTAACAATATATATCTCAAATGGGATGAGACTGTTTGGAGGGTATTTTTACATGAATCTGTCTGCTCTAGGGCCTGATGAAGGTTTATGATATCACTATAATGTATGCTGTATTTTCTCCTTAAAGTGTATTAAGTACCTTTGCTCTCAGTCCTCCTCCCTTTCCCTCTTGACAGTCATAAATATAAATCAATTTGAATATTCTCATAAAAGTTGAAAGATTGTGAGTTCCAAGGGCAACATTTGCCCTCATCTTCAGGGGCAAGAGTATGATAATGTTCACTTGCATTCTTTTTTTCCCACCTACAGTGAGTCACAACAAACATATTGCTGTCACAGTTAATGCTTTCTCACTATATTTATGATGACAAATAATAGACTGTTATTAAGTATCAATTCATGGAACCGGTAAGACTAGAAAAACTAGAATGATCTTTATTTCCTATTGGTAATAGAAAACTTCCATAAAATTATTTGTCCTGTGCAGATGCTACTCTCAATTACTCTGATACACATCTGGAGGTCAATCCAGTGATGTCAATGGAATTACTATGGACATGACTGGGGAAAAATTTAGTCTACAAACTGCATTAGAGCCAGGAAGCATGTGTTTTTCAAAATGAGATATAAATGCAAAATTAAAAATCTCCAAACAGATACAGCATGTGTGTGTATGTGTATGTGCATGTATGTATGCATATTAAAGCTTGGATCTAACAGGAAACAGTGGTTTTGAGATCACCCTTCCAGGTAGTAACATTATACACTGAAACTTTGGGGCAGATGGAATTACATCACCTAATTTGCAAAAACAACGAGAAGTCCCATGGCACCTTATAGACTGACAGATTTATAGGAGCATAAGCTTTTGTGGGCAAAGACCCACTTCATCAGATGCATGTAGTGGAAAATCCAGAGGCAGGTATAAATATACAGGCATAAGAAAAGAGTTCCAATCAAGAGTATGGTTAAAGATAATGAGGTCAATTCAGTCAGGGAGGATGAGGCCCCCTTCTTACAGCTGATGTGGAGGTATGAACACCAAGAGAGGAGAAACTGCTTTTGTAGTTGGCTAGCCATTCACAATCTTTGTTTAATCCTAAACTAATAGGCTGCGTCTAGACTGGCAAGTTTTTCTGCAAAAGCAGATGCTTTTGCGGAAAAACTTGCCAGCTGTCTACACTGGCCACTTTGAATTTGCGCAAGAACACTGATGATCTAACGTAAGATTGTCAGTGTGCTTCCGCAAATACAATGACTCTCCCATTTGGGAAAAAGCCCTCTTGCTCAAATGCTTTTGCGCAAGAGGGACAGTGTAGATAGCTGAGAACTGTTTTGCGCAAAAAAGCCCCGATGGCAAAAATGGTGATCGGGGCTTTCTTGCGCAAAACCGCATCTAGATTGGCATGGACGCTTTTCCGCAAAAAGTGCTTTTGCTCAAAAGCATCCGTGCCAATCTAGATGCTCTTTTCCACAAATGCTTTTAACGGAAAATCTTTCCGTTAAAAGCGTTTGCGGAAAATCATGCCAGTCTAGATGTAGCCATAGTGTCAAATTTGCAGATGAATTGTAGCTCTCAGTTTCTCTTTGAAGTCTGTTTTTAAAGTTTTTTTGTTGCAAGATGGCTACTTTTAAATCTGCTACTGTGTGTCCAGGGAGATTGAGTATTCTCCTACAGGTTTTTGTATATTGCCATTCCTAATATCTGATTTGTGTCCGTTTATTTTTTTGCATAGGGTCTGTCCAGTTTGGCTGATGTATATAGCAGAGGGGCATTGCTGGCACATGATGGCGTATATTATATTGGTAGATGTGCAGGTGAATGAGCCCGTGATGGTGTGGCTGATGTGACTAGGTCCTGTGATGGTGATGCTGGTGTAGATATGTGGGCAGAGTTGGCACCGAGGTTTGTTGCAGGGATTGGTTCTTGAGTTAGAGTTACCATGGTGTGGTGAATTGTTGCTGGTGAGAATTTGCTTCAGGTTGGCGGGTTGTCTGTGGGTGAGGACTGGCCTATCTCCCAAAGTGTGTGAGAGTGAGGGATCATTGTCCAGGATGGGTTGTAGATCACTGATGATGGGTTGGAGAGGTTTTAGCTGGGGCTGTAAGTGATGACCAATGGTGTTGTGTTATTTTACTGGACAGTCCCTACGTAAAAGAATAAATGGACACAAATCAGATATCAGGAATGGTAATATACAAAAACCTGTAGGAGACCACTTCAATCATCCTGGACACACAGTAGCAGATTTAAAAGTAGCCATCCTGCAACAAAAAAACTTTAAAAACAGACTTCAAAGAGGAACTGCAGAGCTACAATTCATCTGCAAATTTGACACTATCAGTTTAGGATTAAACGAAGACTGTGAATGGCTAGCCAACTACAAAAGCAGTTTCTCCTCCGTTGGTGTTCACACCTCCACATCAGCTGCTACAAGGGGGCCTCATCCTCCCTGATTAAATTCACCTCGTTATCTCTAACCTTATTCTTGAATGGAACTCTTTTCTTATGCTTGCATATTTATACCTGCCTCTGGATTTTCCACTACATGCATCTGACAAAGTGGGTCTTTGCCCACAAAAGCTTATTCTCCAATAAATCTGTTAGTCTATAAGGTGCCACAGGACTCCTCATTATTTTTGCAGATTCAGACTAACATGGCTAGGCCTCTAATACTTATCACCTAAGTTGAGAACCCATAAGACATTTGGTAATGTCTGGTATTAGAACAGAAACTGTTTTAAAGTCTTTACAATTCCCTGTAATTCCCTTTGCACATTCATCTTTTGGGATAATATTTTTATTCTTATTTTTTGCCTACAGATTTTTTTTTCCCTCAGGGAGCATAAGCATAACCTCTTTGACCAGTTTTGAGTTATTTGCTAGTGGAATCAATGCTTCTTTCATTTAAAAAATAAAGCTTTTTTTAGAGACAGGATTACAACCTGAAATATGTAGTGTTGAACACAATCCTATCTTGTCTTTGCTTAATATGAGACAAAATCTTCAGAATTAAAATATGGCCATGTAAAAACTTCAAACTGATCAGGTGCAATAGAAGATTTCCTTAAGTTTATACATGTTCACACAGCTATAGATGCTTCATGCATATGTTAAATACACTGTAAATTGGGGGTTTCCTTATTGTCTCAAAATAATTGAAAAGCTCTTAGGGAGAAGCTTGTGACCTACACATGCTAAAAAACTGTGTGGAGAAATATGCAGCATCATCCTTTTTCTATTTCCTCTGAGGGATTTTGGATAGGTTTCAGTGGAAACAGAATCGGGCTATAAATACACAAAACAAGCATTAACATTAAGGTTGCAAGAATCAGGAAATTCCAAAAGGTTAATCTGCCTTCCTACACTCTGCCATGACAATTTTCTTCCACTATTTGATCTGAGGAAGTGGGTCTGGCCCACGAAAGCTCATCACTTAATAAACCATCTTGTTAGTCTAAAGTGCTACATAGTCCTGTTTTTTGTTCCAGCTACACCAGACTAACACGGCTACATTTCTATCTCTATGTTGTCAATGTAACTCTTTGAATTTTATTTATCACAAAGGGTAATACATATTATTAACAAGGAGCAGTTACTAAAAATAAACAGATGTAAAGTAAAACTCAGTTAATTTAATCAGAGCAATCTTTTTTTGGGGGGAGTGGGGTTTTCCTAACTGGGTTACCCTAATTTAAGTAAGCTACATCAGGTGGATATTTTCATCCGTTTAGACACACACAACAAATGCTCTCTGTAGCTTTACCAATCTGTTTCATCTTCATTCCATACAATTTCCAGTATTTCTGTCAGGATGCTTCCTAGATGAGGAATTTTTTTCTAATGTTTCAGCCAACATACACTATCATGAACTTTATTAATAAATTCAATTTCAAAACAATTTCAGTTCAAGAAAGCTGTCCAAATTTGTTTTTGCCCATTTCTTACATATGAGGATATCTATATAGACACAGATTCTCAGCAATGGATTTTAAATGTGTATGTGTCTGTATTTGTATATGTATCAATTTTATACCAAAACAGATTAGCAGATTAGTGAGAAAATTAAAGGGAAGAGTTTTTTAAGAATCTTTTGAGGATCAGTGGAACAGATTAAACTCAGTTGCAGAATTTTTCATAGTGGTAATATCATAATGAAGGCTTATTGACCTACTGCACTGTATTTCAAAATAGATGAAACAACTTTCCCATATTTATAGACATGTGATGCCAATGTGATGCAGTAAAACTGAACTGATTACGTTTACATCAAAACAGCTCATTTTGAATTAGGACTTCTTAAAAAAATTTTGTACAAAAATTTCTCCTCGACATAAACTGAAGACCTGAACATAGAACAATGGCAGGGTAGGCATAGCTCTTTAAAAAAAATAAAGGCCATCTACATATATAACAGTTTGCAAAACTACTAGGTGAATATACCATTCCAGGAAGACTATCTATTCAACTACATTTAGCCCTGAGGAATGATAGTAATTTAAAAAAAAAAATTCTTACCTATGGGAGGTAACATTTTGTATGCCTTTATGTTTTATATTACATATATAAGAGATTGAATTCCCACATTAAATGAAAAATTCAATTCCGTCTTAATTATGGAGCCATTACATCTATAATAAATATCATTTTCCACATGTGTGCATGATTTTATGTCAGTGTTTGTTGATAGAAGGGTATACTTCTGACAGAAACTCAGTTGCAGCTTTTCAGATTTTAATTAAAATTATATCCATATTTTATGGGTATTATTTATAAATTAAACTCAAAAATAGAGAAAATGTATTCTTCAGTATGTAGGTCATTCTACATCCTTTTCTTATATAATAAATTAATATAAGTTTCTTGATTCATTTTTTAAATAATGATCAAGTAGCTGATAATACATTAAGTGAAACAGGTTTTTATTAAATTATATTTTCTAAGGAAAAATGAACTATGTTAAACTAGCTGATTTTTTAAAAATTGCTAACTTAGAATCTCAAAACGTAATAAACTGACACAAAGTCAGTCTTGAAAGGCTTTGAAGAAGCTGAATGGTCAAGCAACGTAGACACACACTAAAGAATTTCTAACATTAATTTAAAATAAATAAATCTAATATTATGCTCTCCTTATCCTTCATGGGATCTGATATTATAAGCCATTTCTGCATGTACCTCCCATTGACCTCCAGAGCATGCAGTAATGGGCTCATTAAATTTAATTTGTGTGTGTATTTTGGGGTAGGGATTGCATTATACACCTAATGCATAGCTAGATTGTTCTTAACCCTAATGTAACCAAGCAAGAAAGGCAAAATATCTCTGCACATCCATTTTAGGGCAATTTTAGATCCAGATGAATGCAAGTACATATTCAAACTTTTTAGTTAGAAGGTGGAAACAGGGAAAGTGCCACATTTTTAAAGGTCTTTATATTCCTGAAGATGCAGATAGGTGTCTGATGATTAATTAGGTACATAGATACTTTTGAAATTTCTATAAGATGCATATTTGCCCCCGTAGGTGCCTAAATACATTTTAAAATCAAGCCTATAGATCTGATTAGCCCATGTAATTCCCATATCAGCTGCCTGGAGCCCGGTGAGAAGTATGTGCCCCTTCAAGTGCAATAAAGGGTCATGGGAAGAATTGTGTGTCTCAAGGGCAAAATTCATCTCAGGTAGAACAGGGTGAAATTTTTCATACATAACCTTATTTTGAAAAGAAAACCCCACAGATATTAATTTTGGCAAATTGTTTCAATCAAAGAACAATTTAAAAAATCAAAATCTGGGGTTTGTTTGTTTCAGAAAGGTATTTTGTGTTCTATTTTCTCTCAATTTAAATCTGAACAAAATGTTTCATTTCTGTTCTATGAAAACAATTTGGTTAGCACAAAATTGTAAAGTCTTTTACATTTTGGTTCAGAGAAAATTTTGAAACTTCATTTCAGGTTGAATCAAAATATATATATATATTTTCAGACCTGCACCCAAACTGATTATTCAGCTATTTGGACAGCCCTGTGTGCAGAGCTCCTCCTGGGGCAGTATAGCTAGCTACGTACAGCTTTTTACTTTCAACTAAATGCCACAAATGCTATCTATTATAAAAAGACTCAATCTGACCATCGTTATACATGTAGCTCTCCCACTACACTCAGTACAGTGAAGATTATTTTGTCTGGATTGAAAGCAGGATTAGTCAAGGTAAACTATGAAATAGGTGTGGGTAAATACGTATACAGTATGGAGTTCATGGAACAAGGCCAGCCATGGAGATGTCTGAGATCATTTTTATATGGTTATTTTTAAAAATTGCATGCAAAGTGTGAATGAGGATTAAGTAAATGAAAATCCATTTTAATAATCTATTAAAAAAGAAAAAGGTGACGTTTTTTTCTCCCGAGACAGAAAACAACCCTCTTTTACAGCATATACCTCAATTTAAAGAAATGTTTAGGAAATAAGTAAAGGGCAATCAATTTCTTGCCTTAAAAGCAGCAACAACAAATTGACAGGCTTCTTCAAATAGCATATACTTCAGACATTTCATTACTAAAATAGCCTATTCTTCATAAAACTAACAAGGCATGTAGGTGACTAAAGTCCCATTATCTAAAGCTAAAGAAACATTTTACTGCTGTGTTTGCTGAGATCAATAGTTATTTCTGTGCTTTTTTGTGATTTTTATATATACATTTTAAAAGGGGTCCTAAGAAGTTTTTGTAAGTTGTATAAATAAGTCAGAAATATGTGTTACAAATGTTTCATGAGCATATTTTTGTTACTCTTATAAAATAAACTGATTATCTCAGGGCTCAATCCAGGTGGCATTCTGTACATGAAACTCTCACTGAAAGCAGTGTGACTCAATGCTATGGCAGATCCCATACAAACGACCTGTCTAATAGCAATTGTAATTGGAAACAAACAAACAAACAAACACAACAAAAACAACATCCATCATGTGGAGGTCAGATTTTGTCATTCTTTTGTCATTCATGTGGTGACATATACTCAGCACTGGCAAAACCTTCAGAATCTGGAACTAAGGGCCTGACCCACAGTGGGAAGTGATCTATTGATGTCAATGGGTTGATAACACAAAGTTCTATAATTTCTTTTCAGTATCTGACAGACAGTCAATAATAAGGAAACATAGAAGAAATGGTACAGTAGAGAATGTAAAAAATGAAACTTCTTACTGGATTTTACACTTGTAAATGATATTTCAACTCTGTGGACATGGAAGTAAAGTTAACCTTTACTTTTCAAGACTTTTCTTTTCAAACAAGTTTTTATATATGTTTGAAAAAAAAAACCCATTGTGAGAGAACATTTCAATCTGTAGAATTATTTTAAAAGATACAGACTATGTGGATGGGCTTGATCCTGCTCCCAATGAAATCATTAGTCAATCTCCTCTTAATTCCTGTGAGAGCAGGGTCAGTCTGAGAATGTGCCATCTTCCTATTCCAAATCTCTTTAGTGTAAAAAAAGAAGAAAAAATAACGGCTCAGCCAGTTCTATGCCTTTGTGATTTGTATTTTATCAAAAACCATTTCTAGCCAAGATGAAAAGATATATATTTGCTTAGGTTTGCACAAAATTATGTCAAAGAAAGATGTGTGTGTTAGGAGTTTGGGAGGATTTCCTTAGAACAGTTATCTTTAGTTACATTACATAATACATTTCAAAATGTACAGACACCCAGTGCTCTTTTTAACAACATATACAGGTGAGTTTATAGATCCTTTATAAAAGGTGTTGTGATACCAAATTAAAAACCATAGAAATAGAATCAAAATAATGGAGATTGATATATACTTTTGATAGTACATAGTCAGTGCTCATTCTGGTAAAACTGACAGCTGCATCTTTGGCATTGAAAATTCAGTACAACTTCTAAACAAAATGTTGTTGCTTACAGCTTTAAAAATAACAAAAAACAAACAACAACAACAGCAACAAAAAACAAGGAAAAACAGGACTGACCAAAATACCAAAATTGGGGAAATATTATTAAAGATTTATTTTTTTAGCAAGGATATCTTAGGGACCCTGAATTACCTTCTCACTTTAGTGTATGATTTGGACTATATGAATCCATTTAAAAATCAACTAAATTGTACCACATTTTTCGGAAAATTATATATAATATAATATATATATATTTTATATTTATTTAGAAGCTTTGAAATAGTACAGTAAACACTTTGCAACACGTGTATAAACTACAGAATGTCTTTGATATTTTGTGGGTCTGCAGATTAACAACATTTTTATAACCCACAGGTGAAAAGATTATGATCACAATCTCTCTTGTAAAGTTGGAATAGTTTGGGGAACACTTGATCACACAAAAATAATATAAAACAGTCAAGTTTAAAACAGTGATATTGCATTTATAATGCACATTTCTTTTATCTGTACGATTGGCTTCTTGTGGTGAATATAAACATCTAAAGGGCTCAGTGACATTTTGGAGAGAAAGATATATAGTGCTGTAAACAGGCACACACTGATCAGAAAGGCAAGATCAGTTGCCTCTGAAGTTTCTACAGTTCCACACATTTCAACTCATTTCTCAGGCCTGCTGAGAGCAATTAGGTCCTATTGTTGGCCATGATGTCTCCAACAGCACACAAATCCTTCAGTTACATAGAACTGGATGGCCAAGATAATGAAGTTGAAAAGTTGATGCTTTTTGTTGGTCGACTTTTGTGCAAATCATGCTGCTTCAGGTAAGTCCTGTAGAATTGACTAGCATATCCTTTTCCGCGCTGCAGGAAAGAAAGAAAGACACTTCTGAGAAAAAAAATCAGCCTCCAATACCTCTTTGTTTTAGTATTTCTTAATGTGTAGAGAAATGATCTAAACTTGTGACAAACTGTCACTTAGAATTCCCATTGTAGCAAATAGTTTAATTGTGAATTGCTTTTCAGAGAATAGCCTTTCTGTGGTTTGATATTTTGAAAACCAACCATCGCATGCTGTTTTATTATCTGTCTAACATGTCATGGCAAGTATTCCAATGTGCCTTCATACAACTGGTTTATGAATAAGGCAAAGAGTCACACTTGCAGGATCACTATTAATGGTATTTCCAAGCCTATTTTTCTACTTAATCTTATTATTTAAAACAAAACCTAGAATCTCCAAAAGAATCAGAAGCTGACTTTCCTTTCTTTATCATTATCCTCATCACCAACTGACTTTTAGTCTGGTTTGATAGAGAGGGGAAAAATTTACGCATTAGTTCTAAAATTTAAATCCAAACATTTACTGTCATGCTGGAAATTGAACTAGTGTTATGTAGGTGAAGCAGGCCAATGCATTAGCAAACCAGTATCCTAAGCTGGAAGATGTGGTAGCAATACTAGCTCCAGACACTGGCTATTTTAACTATAATTGGGAGCAAAGGTAACAAGCATTGTACTTGTATTTGGAAAAGTCACTAAGTCAGATTCTGATGTCAGTCACCCCAGTGCTAGTAAGAAATGTGATAAATTCAAATTTTAACCTAAACCTCAAATTGGCAAAGTCTGATGTAGAAGAAACAAGATTAGTCCATTCATGGAAGTGAAGTGTTACAATTAAAGCAAAGGAATCTTCCTATCTTTATATAATGGCTTCATATATGGAAATCATATGTGTCTATTCTAAATCCCTATTCTTTTTTTTCTAAAAAGTTATCAGTTAGGTTTACCTAACAAATCAGTGTAATATAATTCACAGTGAAATTAGATTTATGGAGAAATCTATTAGCAAACATATTATGTATTCATCTATCTAATCTGCCTACATAGATTACCATGGGGCACTCACGATTTACAAATATAAGAGATGAAGTCTGCTCAGTGATTATCCCATCACTTCAAGACTGCAAACTAACAGATCTCTTATCAACATTAAAACTAAATCAAAATATGAAATATTGTTTTTGTTAGTGACTGAATTGTAAATATTTTTCCACTGTCCAACTGCATCAAAAGGGACAAACTATAGTAAGATTATGTTATAATAAATATTAACTAAAATTATCAGTACATATGTGTTACAAAACTGTCCAGATTTTTTCTGTTCTGATGCAATTTAACTGTGAGGAAAAAATCTTCACTGTAACCACAACAACCAACAACAGAAAATAAATTCTTATATGGATTCAACTTTAATGTTTGCTGTACTGAACTGATGATACATTGAACAGACTTCATCTACCTGACTAGATTAGATAACTATATATCTGTGCTAGCTGATTTTCCCATATGTAATTTAACTTTAATGTGAATTATGTTCCAACTATTTTTATCTGTGTAGATTTTTAATACCTTACTATTTAAACTCTAAAGTTTTCATAAACAGCTGTCTGGCAAATCCTCAGTATCAGATGGCCAGGAAAAAAAATCACAAAACAATAGAGAAGGACAAAACAGAAGCAAATAAGACAGGAAACTACAAAACAATAATGGAGATGACTAGGTCATACATGGAAGAAAGACCCAAATAATATAACAAGACAGTGTTTGGACTGGAACCCCCAGGGCAAGATGCATGGAGGTAGACCAAGGATAACATGAAAATGCACAATAGCTTTCAATTCTGCTTCTATCAAAATGACATGGGATTAATTTAAGACCGCTGCAGGAGATAAGAAAAGATGGAAGGCAGTGATGAAGGCCCTGTGTTCTGCATGGAATAACGTGGCATAAAAGAGAAAAGAGTTTTGCTGAATATACGATCACATGCATCACTATCTCTGGAACAAATACTGTAGTCCCACTGATACTCAGACCTTAGTAGTTCCGAAGCAAAATTAGCAATTTCCCAAAAAACCCAAAATAGTGTGAATTCACTTTTAAAGCCCCAAAAATCTGTGGATAGTCACTTTATATACATGTTGATATCCGTAGTTCATTTCTGTGGATATGGATGTTCATACAAATTTTGAATCTAAAACCTTGTGAATTATCTGCTTTATATCCACAGGTACAAATTGTACCTCTCTCTTTACTGGGATTCCCTGATCCGGCAATATTCGTGGTCTGGCATTAGGGGGCATCGGCAACTCTGTGTGTGGGAGATGTGGGGGGGGGAGGTAGTGTTGCCAGGTGTCCAGTACTGACCCGGACAGTCTGGTATTTTTGACTCCTGTCTGTTAAAAAATTAAGAAAATACCAGACACCTATAATGTGCGGTATTTTCAGATTTTTTTCCCAGACAGGATGCGAAAATTCCAGACACCTGGCAACCCTAGTGCCTTGGCATGGGCCCAGGCCCAGCCCCCGGCCTTCCCCCCACCCTGGGCCCCAACACACTCAGCCCCTCTCTCCCAGATCCCATGCTTACCGGGTTCCACAGAGAAGCTAAGTTCTGGCTTGAACAAGAACACAAAATGGCCACCGGCAAAAAGCCTAAAGACCAAGGGGAAGCAATGCTTTCCCTGGGTCTTAGTGCTCAACGGCTCCCCTGTTCCTATCCCTATTCTAACTCTGCACTCACTCTGAAAGGGGCCATGCTGCTTTATTATTTAATTTTTTTTCTTAATAAGTCTCAGAATCCTTTATTTTCCTCAACAGAATGGGTGTTGTGGTTTTTTTTGGAGGGGGGGTGTTCAGTATTTTTGGTTCAATCATCTGGCAACCCTAGAAACAGGTAGCACAGTGGGGAGTTCTGTCCCCCAGTAGCAGCCGTGGCGCTCCAGCCCCAGCAGTGGCAAGGGAGCTCTGTCCCTGGCCACAGAGCTCCAGCCCTAGCCCTCCACCCCAACCCTAGCTGCACAGCTCTGGCCCCAGAAGTGGAACCAGGCAGCTGTGCAGCTACAGCCCCAGCTGTGGATCCAGGTATCTGTGGAGCTCTGTCCCAGCTGCAGAACTCTAGCCATGGCACTCTGCCTTGGCAGCAGCAGGGCTGGCCGCATCTGAAGAGCCTGGGAGGGCTGCAGCAGCAGGGAGGGGGGCAGGCTGAAGCACAGGCCAGGAGGGAAGGGACCTTCCTTACTATGGCCATTCCCCTCATTCGGACCAGTCAGGTCCCGAGCGTGCCAGACCAACGAGGGCCAACCTGTACTTGCAATTGGATGCGGATGTCGATGCAGATATCCATGGATCATTTCTGCAGATGCAAGTGTGGGTGTGGATATCAATTTTGTATCCGTGCAAGACTCTGTTCATTGTTTGAGTTTACTCTCTCTCCCTCTCTTATTTTCATGGCAAAATGACTGACCAATTAGTTAATCAGATAGTAAAAGCATCCTGACTGATTAATAACATTGTGATTTAATTGTTAATCAATCTAAATATTTTAATATCATGTGCTACAAAGAGCTACACGAGGGATCCATTAAATAGTCACTTGCAGCTCCTCATCCTTATTCAGAGTATCAATGCTGTATTGTAGTAAATTCAACAGAAGCTCACACAATGCGTACAACTGTCAGATGGTAAATACCGGACTTTGCATCCTTAATAAATAAATATCATATGTATTTCCTTTTATCAACAAAATACTTCATAAACACTCATATATTGATCTTTGCAATATCCTGGTAAAGTAGGTAAGCACAGTAGTCCACATTGTCTGCTGCTATTCAGAAAGACATGGAAGGGGACAGATATACTGGAAATTACTACAATTCCTTAAGACAGTGTAATTTGAAGCTCAGTGGAATTTTCAGGAGCTGAAGCCTCCCACCCACATCAGAAATAATTGCTGCCCTATTAAGATGTATTGGCCTTTATTTCCTATCTGGCAATGTGGGTGCACTGGAACCAGGGCAATTGTCTAGGCCTTTCAGAGCACACAGCATGACCTTTTGCTTAGGCGCTCCTTAGAGATACATAAATACATTTTTGTGGTAGCTGACTGGTGATGTCTTTGCCTTACCCTGTGTCACTGTGTACATTTTCTTGTTTAATTATTATAATAATTATAATTGCACTACCATTAGGCCATTTAAAACTCTAAGTATATATCTGCAACATCTATGCCCTGGGCAGTTGGCAAGTCTCTTATCCAAGTCTTCCCAGGTCTCAAAACCTAAGTAAACCTTTTTGCATGGAAACCAACAGAAAGAGATTACTGGATTCCAAGGGTGATGATCAGCTCTATCCTCGTCACTGTTCTGCAAAGATGTCTGACTAGGGATTCATGCACAAAAAAATGTGTCTGTGTACTATCCCTTGTTTACAGTTGGGGAAACTGAGTCTAATAACTAACATGGGAAGAAGAGTGGTCTTGTGAATAAACCAGAGGGCAGGAAGCCAGGAGTTCTGGAGACTATTCCTGGTTCTCTAGAAATTTTCTATGTGAATTTGAGGGGAAAAAAATCACCAAACTTCTCTATGCCACCATTTCTCCCTATGTAAAATAGGTAAACATTTTTATTCACATTTCATAGAGGTGCAACTAGGTTTAAATAATTATTCTTTATAATCCAATGTGAGATCCGTAGATGGAAAGCACCACAGAATTGGAAAGTACCAAAAGCAATTTAATATTTAGTATAAGAACTGAAGAATTCCTGGCTCCCAGTCTCTCTCATCCCTATTTAACTGTTTTTGTACTTTGGTCTCATTAATGAACTCTGAAATCAAGTGGACTAGAAAGCTTTATATCTGTATCCACTGGGAATCATGGGTTCTGGTTACAAATATTGTAAATTAGTACAGTTTAATAATGTTACTAGCATAATTCAACTGTTTAATAAGTATCTGGGGTGGGAGAAGAAGGAGGATTCAATATTACTACAAATAAAAAGCAATATAAAATATGTATTTTTCTT